GCAGCAGAACGAACTCTAGAGAGTCCAGATAGAGTGAAGACTTGCTGGGGACTGGGAGACCTGCCAGCCTCCCAGCCCCCAGCCAGCACCCCTGCCTGCCACGTACCCGCTGAACCCCAATAAAAAACCTGCAAAACCACTGAGGACTCTGACTTCTCCTTCACCCGGTCTGCATGGGATCAGAAAACCTGCACCGTGTCCAGTCCTGCCCTTACACATGGGAAGGGGAAGTAAGAGAGGGAACTGAACCTGAAAATCCAATTTCACAATGTAAAGGGCAAAGGTATGTGTAGGGTAAGGTAAAAAGTGTCAGGCTTTTCTGTCCTCCCACCATTAGGATAGATGACGGAGCCCTGGGGTCCTGAATGCATGCCTCATGGCGGCTACCTGGAGTGTGAGCATAGGTAGATGGGATTCACCTGGGCTAAGACTGGGCTTTTAAGGGTGGCATCACGGGGATGCCAGCGGAAGCTGAGAAAGTAGAAGCAGAGAAGGCTGGAAAGCCCAGAAAGAGTAAAGACTTGCTGGGAGTGCTGGGAGGCTGGCAGGCCTCCCAGCCCCCACCCCAACTTGCCATGTACCCGGTAAATCCCCATAAAAGCCTGAAAACCCACCGAGGGCTCCAGGACTCCTCCTTTACCCGGTCTGCTGGATCAGAAAACCTGCACTGTGTCCATTCCTGCCATTACAGTATGTTGCGTTTGTGCTGTGTCAAGAGATATTAATATATTCTTTGTAGTGGGCAACTCTGGTGGATTTTGAGGAGACACTTCATATAATTGGTGAAGTAGAATTTGGGGAAGAGATTTGTGGTAATCCTGGATTATCCCATATACTGTTAGTTAATGAGGCTCCAGAGTTGTTAGTTGGCCTGACATTTTGAGCTAAGATCCTCCTCAAACCTTGGATTCTCCATTATTCTTGTTTTTCTTTATTTCTCTTTACCTTTTTATTCAGAGAGCTTCCATATAACAGGGTGACTGTGTCTAAATTTGGACTGTTGCGCACTTTTACTTACACATGCTTTCCCTTAGCATTTCTCTAAAAAGGAACACGTAGGGGGGAACTGGCAATGTACCCCACTGCAGGGATTATAGGTTGCAAGTCATTTCCTTATTTGACTGATCCTCAGAATCACTGCACGGCAGGAAGGCCACAGAGCAGGTTTTCTATGATTGGGCAGATGGGGAAAGGAGTTCTGGAGCCCTCAGTGGCTTTTTCAGGCTTTTATTGGGATAATAGTCTGGCTTAGTTGCTGATTTCCAGATCATCCCATGCCTACTGTTACCATCCACCTTGGAATTTGGACTAGAACTATTCAAGGCCTGTAGACCTCACAGCAGCTGGTGAGTAAGACAGTGGTGGTGTCTTCAGGGTCTGTTGCTCAGCTTTACAGGATAGAGGTCATTATTTTAGTCAACACAGCTGTCTTTGGTAGGGCAGATTCACATTAGCAGGCCACAATGCCTCTGATTGTTCTAGTTTCTGAAGTTGTCTAAATTATAGCTGGTAGCATTTGCTACAATGTGAATGTAACTTTCCCCCTTGCTCTAGCTTCCTCCACCCTTAGGACACCCTTCCCCCCCCCCCCCCCCCAGCAGGCTGCTCCCTCTCGGTGATGCTGAGGTGGAGAGCAATCTGAAGGCATAAAGGAGTAAGAGAACCAAGCTGAGGAGACACAGAACCTGAAATCCCAGCAGAATAAGTTTTCTCGGGGTTTCGTGTTAAGAATGATTCAAGCTCCTTGTAGACCTGTTACAGAGAAATATATGGAGTGGATGAAGAAAGCACTGATTTGAGTCTACATACCCTTGGTGTTTTGGGTTGTCAGTATCTACCACCAATTTTCTTGATAATTCTACCTCTGAATCTTGCAGGCCATATGCTGCCATGTGAGTCAACTTTCTCCTCCTTCCTGGCTTTCAGAGCCAGCTGTGTGGCTCATGCCCAACTAATGAGCATACCTTCCTCCCTGAGCATGACTGACTTGAGATTGGCCTTGTAGTCGAAGATGGTCCTATCAGACTGCAAACCTGAACTTCACTTTTTAGATGGTTGGAGGGGATATGTTCTTTTTGACCACATAGGGATAAGAGTGCATGTGGCAGTCGTCTTAGAAAGGCACAAAGGAAGAGCTTTCTCAGAATGGAGCCAAATTGGAAAAATTTGAGCTAACAAGCAGAGAGAAATTGTGTCTTGGTCACACTGCTTAAACAAGATTAAGTCTTACTTCAAAATAAGACTTACTTTTGTAAGTGTTTTAAAGACACTTTAATTTGGGTTTTCTATTATCCTGTTATTTTCAGGGGCTTTCCCTAAACAACTTCTTCAGGAGGTATGGTTTATTGGGATTAAGTGAATGCTACCAGGTGACATAAAACACTTTTAAAAGCCAAATGCGCAAGTATGTAAAAAAATGCCTTAAATGGGCATGTGTGGAAAAACACACGCATGAATATATACCAGATGAATCATTTGATTTTGGCTACATTAACAGAAGTATAGTTCTTAGAAAAAAGAAGAGACCATTTTGCCATAGTCTTAAAAACCTTACTTTGGGTATGAAGATGAATTCCACATAAACCATTAGCAAAGACTTAAGACAATTTAGAGAGAATTCAAATTGTCCATATTGGGGAGGGGCTTCAACATGTCTTGTGGGGTGGGGTGAAAGATAGTGGTGTTTAACTTAAAGCAGTCTTAGGGGACAGATAAAGGGCAACTGTTCTTAAACACTTTGAGACATACATAGGACTTTAAGATACTTGGTTTTCAGCATCACTTGACTTTCAGTAAGAGCCACTAGTCTGCATTCGGTGACTGATGTCTTCAAATTTACCTGAAACTAGTACTGCCCTGGACTATTAAATCACGTCAGCTATTCCCATTTTTGCTTAGGTCAGTTACAGCAGATTTTCTTTGTCATTTGCAATAGGAGTCAACTGATACAAAAAGGATTATTACATCTTTAGGGCTTCGAGAGACAGACCAAAACCATAGGCCAGTTCAGGATAATGGAAGGAACAAAATTTGAATAAATACTTTAGGGAGATGAAGTTTTCATTTAAGAAGCTAATTCAAGCTTCAAGTTTTGATAGTTGATAAAGGTGAAGTCTGTGGTTTTTTAAACCCGAGTCTATGAAATTCTCTAAATAGTTAAATTTTAGGAAGGCAAGCACAGTTGTGAACAAAATTTAAGGTTATTATATTCATTTCAGTTCAATATTTAATAGTTGTATTTTTTTCATACACTGATTTTACATTTGTTAGTATGTTATGTCTTATACATTTTGGTATTTTAAATATACAGTCAATGTTAAAGTCATTTAATGAACTTTAAGCTCAAATATTTAAATATGAGGCTTTCAGTAGTATCTTAATTTTGATATTGTAACTGTATTTTATTTCATGTTAAGTCTGTACTTGATAATAGAACCTTCATTACTGTGTTATTCCCAGTGGGGGAGAATGGCTTGCTGCAAAGTAAAATATTTGCTCCAAAAATAGAAAAATGCTTCAGTACCTCAGTCCTGAATCTACTCAAATAAATGCTTACATACAGATCATTTTCTTCCTTGTTCTTTCTTTTTGAATAAAAAAAAATGAGCAAAATAAATAAAAACAGCAGGAACTTACATAAAACAAACATTTAAAGAACTTTAATTAATGAGCTACATTGCTGTACACATATGTATGTTTGAATATGCATAGAAAAAAAAAGCTGGCAGGGTACATAACTAATTGTTAATAGTTTACCATGGGGGTGTGGAATTGGTAGAGTGAGGGGACTGCTCTTAGTTTTAAATTCAAACACTTCAGTATTGTTTGGAATTTTACAATGAAAATTTGTTACTTTTATCAAAACTGCAATAGAAATTTACAATAAAAATAGTAACAAAAGGTAAAAAAAATTATACCCTAATTTTAATAGCTACAGTGGAGGTATGGAGAATTAAATCACATGGTACACTTTTCCACTAATACTGTGTTGGTAAACATAATTATGTAACCTATAATCAAAGAAACATTAGAGAAACCATGTTAGCAGCATCCCAATTTATTCAAGGTGAATATTAAAAGTGAAAGCAGACCTTAAGTCTTCTTGGAGGATCTATAGGAAAAACATGTCACTCTGAAAACTTCAGACTAAAGAAAATGCTTCACTGAAGTGACTTTGTAATACTAAAACAGTTATAAGGGACAGAAACTAGGAGATACGAGAACTCTACCCAGTCCAGATGCCAAAATTAAATTACTGAATCTTGGTAATCTAGGGATGTAGGTTACGGACATCTACTGTACTCATCTGTTTATTACTTCTCACAATTTCTCAGTAGGTCTGCTTTCTATATAAACCTAAAAATACTTTAATTCTAATTGGAAGGAATAAAGTTAATTCCATCTAGATTCACTTTAGATTCATTCATTTAGATTCATTCTAGTTAAAAGAACCAGAGAAACTTGAGACTAATATCTTCCATTATTCATTTTTCCCCCCCTCATGACTGTTTCTAGCTACTTAACGAATATCTTGGGAGGTAATACTTTGATTTCCTCAGGGGTCCCTAAAGTTCTATATTTGAAGACATTGCCCCCCTCATGTTCTCTTTTTATTGAAGTCATCAGAGATGACAAATGTTTAATTATAATGGACCTTTCCTTCTAGCAAAGAAGAATCTTTAAGTCACATCAGGCTGATGGTTAAAGATCCTCATCAAAGTCAGAGCAATTTTAATTTGTAGCTTTCCCAAACTACATAGTTAAAAATTTAATTGATATAATTTTGCACTTCTAAGTGCTCCTACCATCGGTTGTCATAGGCTTATGTAGGATTATATTCATTTCATAAATGATTATTATGGGAATTTAATCAGAAAATTATAAACAGCAGAGATAAAGGACACAAAGTCATATGGTCATGTCATTTTTAAAAGTTGCAACAGCTGAAATGTTCCTGTTTCTCAATGGATTATAGTATTTTAATTAAAAAAAAGGGAAAACATCAAAAATTGTATATGAAATAGTATGATGCCTGGTATACAATAACCATTCAATAAAAATTGATTCTATAATGACAATGGATTGAAACAATAAACAAAATCATAGAACCCAAAACGGATGGGAAAGCTTAGTACTAATTTCCTAGAGTGTGTTTTTAAATAGAAATTCGAAGCTCACGGAGAGCCGTGTGGATTTCTGCACTTTCTGGATCTATCTTTTGGGCCCTCTCATAGTACTCAGCAGCTTGCCTCTTCTCTCCCTCCAGTTTATAAACAAACCCAAGGGCAATTAAACTCTGCCTATCTGAGCCACTGTGACTAAGTCTCTTGGAAGCCAATTTCTTCAGCGAACTTGTCAGTTTGGTGCGTAGGGATGACCTGTCTTTGACCTTCAGAGCTTCTAAATAATGATGGATGGCAGTATTTTCTGATTTACGGTGAAATTCCTGGAAGCGGCCATAGTGGTAGTGGATCTGATGTTTGTGATCATCAGTTATGTTCTCTAGACGCAGGGCTTTCTGGAAAATGTCTTCAGCGTTCCTGTACTGCCCGCCCTCAGCATACATGTTGGCCAGGTCCGTGTAGGCAAATGCAAACATAGAGTCTCGTTCCACAGCTGCTTTAAAATGAAATATAGCTGATGTAATCAGCTCATCCACCTTTAGCTTGTCCTTTCCTTTAGGTTTGTTGCGAGTGGCCTTCTTGATTTGGATCATTTGTGCCCTATAGCAAAGTCCCATTTGGTGATGCAGGAAAGAAGAGGTTGGTGTTACTTCCAAGGCCTTTTTCAAAAGTTCAAGAGCTTTGTCCCAGGAATTTTTTCTCCTGTAGAATTTGGCTGCATAACGAAGGACATAAGGTTGGGATGCTATCTGGTCCAGGATTTCTTCAATATACTTCTCCCCTTCAGCTTCTGCATGTACATCTTGAAGCTTCAGTGCCAGAAAAACCTTAATGTAGGTGTTATCTGGGTTCAGGGTAACAGCCTTCCTTAGAGGGCCTAGAGAAAAGCTCTTTACAGAGCCTTCCCTGTCAGAATCATCTAGCCGATACACCGTGATGGCGTAGCCGATATTAAATTCAGGATTGTCAGGTTCCACTTCCAGAGCCTTCTCAAAAGCCACCTTAGCCTTTTGATAATACTTTCCTCCAAATTTCAAGAGTGCCCACCCTTTCTCACAGTCAATCTCAGGACGTTCCAACTTGTAGTGAGAAGGACTGGACAGTTTCTTGCAGGTGTTCCCCACCATGTCTACATACTTCTGAGATTCTTCAAAGTGACCCATGTGGAAATACACCCAGGCATAGTTTCCCCAAGTAACCAAACTTTGTACTTCTTCTTTGTCTGAGTGTTCTCGCTGGATTATTTCTTCTGCTTGTTCTAAGCACTCTAGGGCATCTTTATTTTGGCCTTTTAGGTGTTTCACATAAGCCAGTAGGTTATAAAGAGTAAGTCTGGATTTTGTGGTAAGAAATTCAAGTTGTTGCCCAATTGTATCTTCTACATCAAACAGATCGATGTCTTCCTTCAATAAATTCCATGTAAAGTGACATTCTAATTCCAACAGAATGGTCTTCAAGGAATCCTGAGGAATTTCACTGTCAAAGACAAAACCTTTTTTTAATTTTGAAGAAAAATAGGAAGTAACTAATTTTCAAAACTTAGTGTTCTTTGCATAATAACCAATTCTGTTATTTGACCTTAAAGTTAAACTAGGCTCCTATAACTTTATACTAATTTCCTCCATATCCCAGGAACAATCATTAAATTCTCATTACTTATTAAAAAACCAGTTCTGTGGGTTGCTACATGCAAAGGAATGAAGCTTGACTACCACCTCACACCATACACAAAAACTAACTCAAAATGGATTAAAGAACTAGACATAAGACCTGAAACCATAAAATACATAGAAGGAAATATAGGTGAAACACTACATGATATGCACATCAAAGACATCTTTACTGACACATCACCCAAAGCAGTGATAGTGAAGGCAAAGATAAACAGCTGGGACTAGATCAAATTAAAGAGCTTCTGCACAGCAAAAGAGACAATAACAAAAACAACGAGAAACCCCAGCAACTGGGAGAACATTTTTGCACACAACACTAATGATAAAGGACTGATCACAAAAATCTACAAAGAGCTGATGAAACTCAACAAAAACAAAGATAATCAGTCAAAAAATGGGCAGAAGAGCTAAAAAGAACCTTCTCTGAAGAGGAAATGCAAATGGCCAACAGGCATATGAAAAAATGTTCAACATCACTTGTAATCAGGGAAATGCAAATCAAAACTACCATGAGATACCATCTTACACGAGTGAGAATGGCACATATTAAAAAAACTAGCAACAACAAATGTTGGCGAGGGTGTGGAGAAAAAGGAATTCTCCTGCACTGTTGGTGGGAGTGCAAACTGGTCCAACCACTATGGACAGCTGTGTGGAGATTTCTGGACCTACTAAACATAGAGCTTCCATATGATCCAGCAATTCCACTCCTAGGTATTTACCCAAAGGACACAGAAACATCAATTCCAAAGAGCACCTGCACCTCTATGTTTATAGCAGCACTATTTACAATAGCTAAGCTTTGGAAACAACCCAAATGCTCAAAAATAGATGACTGGATCAAGAAGATGTGGTACATATACAATGGAATATTACTCAGCATTCAAAAAAAAATAAACACATGCAATTTGCAGCAACATGGATGGCGCTGGAAGGGATCATGCTCAGCGAAATAAGCCAGAAAAAAAAAGAAAAATACCGGATGGTCTCACTCATAGCAGGAATCTAGAAAACTTAAATAAGAGACCAGGAAAAAGAATAACTATAAGAAAGTGAAAATCAAAATCAATCAAAACTATGAACCAAAGACACTCTATGGGGGGCGGGGGGTGGGGAAAGAAGGGATTGGGATCAAAATAAGGGGGTTGCAGTTGTATAGGGAATATAAAAATAAAATTAAAATTAAAAAAAGAAACAGTTCTGGAGAGATGACAGGGTTTTCAAAGTTACAGAGTATCCATTTCTGTTGGCAGTTGGTAACCCATGGAACCACCTATTTTCAGAGAGGGGAATTAAAAACGTTTTCTTTACAAACATTGAAAATTAAGAATAATAAATATATACACAGTTAATAATTAACATAAAACTCTACTTCCATGGTATGAATAGTATAGTAAGACAGAAGGTGAGAAACAAGAAAAATAAGCACATTGAAGGAGACAGAGAAGCCACAGGAATTTATTTTTGGTGTAAAGAAAGGAAGGGAAGAAGAGAGGAAGGCAGAAAACCCAGTGAGAAAAAGCACAGAAACAGACAGGAGCAGATATACCAAGAGATGGGGAGTAGCTTAAGCTGAGGTGGATAAAAGGAGGGTAGCCAATTTAGAGAAAGACGAGGAACAGGCAAAAGGAGGCTTACTAGGCTTTGTAAGTGCCCATCCTGACCACTGGGGCTGTGGGTCACCACAAAGGTGGACACCTGTTACTGACATATCATTGCCCTTAATATTCACTGCACTTCAAAAAATATGTGTTGGGTTCCCCTGTATGAGGCATAGTACAATCTCTGAGGGGCCACTGGAAGCGCTGTCTTTGAACTAGAAAGATGAAGGGGAAAGGGGAACAGGAAAGATTTAATCTTCCTGAGAGCCTTTCATGTGCAGGAGCTTCTGAATCAGCCCGGGGTTTGTGAACAAGACACAGCCTTGCTTATAAGGTGCTTATAAGGAACAGTCAATGACAAATCAACATTCCAATAAAGTTTCACCAATTGACCCGGGATGGGTATATTGTCCAAGGCTGTGGACTTCTGTGGCTTTCACTCGGTCAGGATCCCTGTGTTCAGTTTTCCTTTGTGGAACAAGCTCTCTCCATCATCTCAAATCATCTCATTTGTGATGGGCTTGTCCACCCTTCCCACTCCAGTTTGTGGGAAGCATAAGATTTTCCAGCCATTCCCTGGGCTCACGGATTTTTTTCAGAGATAGTCCAGGCTTGGAGTTGCTGATGGTCATCCTCCCAGACTCTTGGGGAGAGTCTGCCCGAGCAAAACTCTAACAGAGAGGGAAGCAGAGACAGGAAGGGAGACTGGGAGAGAGAGAGTTGACTAAATACCTAGATCCAATCCAGAACCTACCTGGTTCACCTTGATCACCCCTAGACCTAAGCAAATACTCTTTCTCTCCCCCCTCTCTCTCCTCTCTCTTCTCTCTCCCTCTCTTTCTCTCTCTCTCACCTTAAGCCAGTTTGAAATGGATTTTCGCTGTCTATAACTGACAATGTTGTACTTAATATACCTACTTTTATTTATTCATTTGTTTTGCTGAGGGGGGTGGTGAGGCAGTCAGGAAAGACTTTCTCAATCTGCCATTGGTCATAATTAAGGTTCACAACAAATGTACAGAAAATTTTTTTAAGGCACCTCTCAAAGAGGGAAATGCTCTGATTATGAGGTGAAGAGTGTCCTTATGCATGTGTCTTTCCCTCTCTGCTGTACTCAGAACCCCCCTTTGTGTGTATACTCTAAGTACATACTTGTAAAATGTTTGAGAATTAGGTACTTATATAGTACTTATTATCAATAAATATTTATTGATCACCTTATGCCATACTCTCAAGCAATATTCTAGTTGCAAAGGAAGGAGTAGTGAACAAGATAGAAAAAGGTCCTTTCTGTGATGCTAATTCTATTCTGAGAGAGGGGGAGCAAATGGAATTGACAGAAAATAAGCAGTAAACAAATCAATGGACAACATAATTTCAGACAGTAAATAGTGTTAAGAAGAAAAACTAATCAGTAATAGGATTAAGTGGTTCTGTGTGGGTATTTGTGTGTACTTACTGTCGAGGAGAAATTTTTGTAGAAAGGGGCTATTGAAGTAAAGATCTCAACGAGAAGGATGGAGTCATAAGAGATCTGAGGACAGCATGGCCGAAGCCGGTGCTTCTCAATCAGGGTTGCCAGCCCACTCCCAGACATCTGGTAATGGTTGAAGACAAGTTGGTTTGTCACCACTGAAGGGATACTACTGGCATTTACTGGGTCAAGGTCAGGGATGTTGCTAAATATGATACAATGCACAGGCCAGTAATAAAGAATTATCTGGGCCAAAATGTCAATAATGCCAAGGCTGAGGAGCCTTGGTTTTTTTTTGAAGGGATCAGCAAGTATGAAAGTCCTGACATGGAACACTTGGACTGTACGGGGGACAGAAGATAAATGTTGCTGAAAAGTTTTAAACAAAAAGGTGAGTTAGGGCCTCCCCTGGTGGCGCAGGCGGTTGAGCGCAGCTCTGTGAAGCTGTCTGCAGCCTTTGCAGCGCCATTAGATCCCCACCAGCCGGTGAGGGTCCCCCATGGTGCGGCAGACCTCTTTTGTTGCGGCCACTGCTCTCTTCAGCAGTGTATTTCGTCAGTCTGTCCTGTTCCCTGCTCTGTCTCTGGTGAATCCTCTTACCCTCCCGCGCATCTGGCCTGACCGCGGTTCTTGTATAAATAAATAAATAATTTTTTTTTTTTTTTTAAAAGGAGAGTTAGCAGGAGAGGAGGCATGATAGCGGGTAGGGACAGATGATGTAGGCAGGCCTGCTAGGCCATGATAAGGAAAATTTATTTTACTGTAGCTACAATTAGAGGGGGAAATTTTAAATAAGGAAATGATTTAGGCTTCAAAACATCCCTCTGCTGCTCTGTGACCAATGGATGCCAGGCAGTCACGAAGGGAAATTGGTGGGGAAGCTGTTTATTTAACAGATATTTCTGGAGAGTCTACCATTGCAAGGCACTAACCATAGGGGATACAGCAGTGAACAAAGAAAAACAGCCTGACTTCATGTCTTCATGTAGTGCACACTGTAATGGGGGGTGGGGTAGGGGGAGGGACAGGGTGTGCTATAAAAAGTCCAAAAAATAAGAAAAATGAAAATATAGAGTATGTGAGATGGAAATAAATGCTAAGGACAAAAATAAAGCAGGAAAAGGGAACTGGGAGGCTGGCAGAGGGTCTAAGAGGTAGTTAAGTCTAAACAGCACGCAGTGGACTGTGGCGGTGGTTTCTGGGTGTTTTTGTGGTGGCAGGGGTGTGGTGACACACATCTAAAGAGGTGAGAACCTATTCTCCTAAATCATACACAGTGTTGTAAAATAATGTTATGTAAAAAAAGTTACTTTTTTTTTTTTTTAAATAGTATGGCTAGAGCAAGTCTCCTAAGAAAGACAAAAGGGCAGTTTGAAGGAACCCAAGGAGAGATGATGCAACTTGTTGGCTGTCGAGGGTTAGTGAGGATTTGATAGTTATATTCTGGAGGCAGAACTAAGGGGTCTTTCTGGTGGATTACTGGGTGTGGGGAGGGCCATGAGGGAAAGAGAATTAAGGATAGTTCTTATGATTTCAAGGATAGTTCCTTTTGATTTCAAGAACTGAGTGGATAAATCAAGAGGCCTGTTTAGAAATGTCAATTCTGAGATGCCTATTAGACATTAGAGTGAAGATGTCAAGTATGAAGCTGGACATTAATGAAGAAAATTCTGGAGATGAGGAGGAGAGAAATAAGAACTAATGACATAAAACTGGAAGTCATCAACA